CCGAATTTTCACTCCTGCGTTTCCGTCTAGACAGACTGACGACAGACAGAGGAAGTGAGTTAAATAAAAGCTTGTAAAAATCATAACTATATCCCGAGCTCCCATCCGCTGTTGTTTTATATAAGAATATTCGAGAAAGTTTAGGGGAGATCACTCCCGCTTTATTTAATGTAATGTTCAATTAGAATAGGATGCCAAATGGCTTTTGAGACCTGAAAGCTCCTAATTTTATTGAACATTCAAACCGGATGTGGGTGCCATGGATGCAGGGCTGTGGCGTAGCTACCGTAAGCAAGATATATGGGCCCGAGGCACATAGGGGCCCTTTTCCCTCTTCAAAAACATTAAAACTTTTACATTGAAATTTTAATATTTCTTTTATGTAAATAATTTTAAAAAGAAAATGGAAATACTTCTACTCTAGAAATAATTAAAAGTTCCGAAAAAGCCCACCGATCCTTTCTTACTGTACAGACAGTGCCATTCGAAGTGGCGGGGGGCAGGGGATCGAACAGGGCCATCCGTAATAATAACACCCCATGCGTTGTCACATTTGCCGGGCAAACCATTGAGAGAATTAGCCTATAAATAAACTTGAACTTCGACTCTTTTATGAGATTGGCATCCAGCACCCGTAAATTCACATGCATCGCTACAAAACCTCAACTTACTTTGAAATTACCTACACCTACCCCCTAATTGACTGCCCTCCCCAAGATTCAGCCCAAATACACATCCATGATAACAATTGAGGCATTTTTAATTAATTAATAATCATGGACCGTGTTTTTACAACAAGCGAAGTCCAACATTTGTCTATGTTTTTCTACTATTTTTTAGCTTAATGACAATTTATTTGTTGACCTAATTAATATTTAATCATTGTGGCTCTGCTAACATTATAAGTTTTTGATTTTCATCAAATCGCCTAGAAACATTGGGAAGTCGTTGAGTCCAGACAGTATTTTTTTCACAGACATTTTTCTGGAAAGATGGCTGAAAGAAACTCTAACATTTGGGAAGGTTTCTGGCATTAAATTATATTTTATTTCGGTTGGCGGCGCCATTGTATTAAAGCGGTGAGGCGGCGCCCATGCAGTAAACGCTACGCTGCGCTACATACGTTCAAGGGAACCGTTGATTGCGCGTCCTGCAGTGTTACTACTTATTCAAATTCAACAAGGGCAGTCTTCGACGGATGACACCAAGCACAAGAGCACCCTACACTAAGGACACGGTGGGCCTCTACGATCGATGATTGAATCGAACCAGGGGATGCATCAAGCTACCTATGGTAGTGTAACTAGTAACTCAAGTGACGCCCCTAGGCGGTCGGCGAAAGGTGTTCAACCTCACTATTACCGAGGATAACGCACACTCAATGCTTTCATACAGCACGCCAAAAGGAGTCTGAGCGGTAGTGTGGACAAACCCACGCCCAAACAAAAAAGATCAGAAAAAAAAACAGTGGTATTGTTCATATTTCAACTATCTCAGTTAAAGAAAACAAGGCCAGGCGATAAAAAATACACAATCGGTAACGCGTTGATGAAACCCTTACAAATTGTTTCGTTACCCTGGTATGTGGGACTAGATCGCAGCAACGCTGACGGGTACGCTAGTTACAGATAAACATTCTGGATTCCACGATGATTCGGGGAGGTTAGTTTTTTCGTTTGTGTTTTTTGTGTTTGCATTTGAGTTTGCATTGTGTTTGTGTTTTCTTTTGTGTTTGCGTGTTGCGTTTGTGTTTGTGTTGCTTTTATGTTTGTGTTTGTATTTTCGTTTGTGTTTTCTTTTGTTCTGTTCCCAAGTTGGTACATTTAAAAAAGATTCACCGTGGCGGAGCACAGGTATGCAGCTAGTTGTAAATATGCCAATTCGGTTAGTAGCTTGGCCATACTAAGCAAAGAACATACAAAACCAGTTAAATAGATCTCAAGGAACTTATTAATCATTTTGCAAAGTTAAAAGCATGAAAAAATAAACCAGGAGAGAACTCCCCTAAACTTTCTCGAATATTCTTATATAACACTACGGGGGATGTCAACTCGCGATAAAGACATGATTTTTAATCCATTTTTAATTACTTAAACTTTTTAAAATAGAATAAAATCTTGTTGAAAAAAGAATTACACAGCAAGTGAACGTCAAAACAATCAATTAAATTTTTGAGAAATCGGAAATAGCGTAAATTACTACTTCCGGTCAACGGAAATGACTCAAAATCTGACTAGTAATCAAGTTATAAGCTTTTGAAAAACAAAAAGTTAAATAAGTTCCACTTCTGGTAATCCGGAAACCGCTGAAAAGTTGATACAGAGCTACACATTTTATATAATACATGTATATGAAATTTCAGCAACCTAGCTGTAACGGTAATAGAGTTATCGTGTTTACAGACACACACAAAGACATTAGTGTTTCTTCCAGACATTTTTCTCCGGGGGCACTTGATATTTTCGGGCGGGGGGGGGGGCGGTTAACATTTTTCGGGGGGGGGGGGGGGGGGGGCGGACACTAATAAAAGTGTATGTTTACTATATGAAATCCATCTCGTTCGGGTGGGGGCGTAGACTTTCTTCGGGGGGGGGGCGAAGCACCCCCACCCCCCCGAAGAGATGCCTGGAAGAAACTCTGGCAGATATACGGACAAAGTTGCAAATACCAGTTTTCCGACTGGACTACGAAAAGAACGCTGAAAGTTTGATAAATCTGCATTTATTATTTTTGCCCGATTAAAATGAGTCAGCTATGCTCCGCATATCAAAGTGCTGAGAAGTAAAACGATGAAAACTGTCAACATTTCATGTGATTTTTTTGCATAGTTACAATACTTCTTCTATAATCTTTACACGAGAGTAAATAATTGTGTTTGGTAAGTGGTGACACAAGGTATTGTGTTACCCTACGTGTTTACTCAAGGTGTCACCACATCGCCCCAGTAGCGTAGCGGGGGAGGGGGGACATATGTCCCCGGGCGCCGACCTTAGGGGGGCGCAAATCGAAATTTTGAGGGGGATGCAAATCGAAAGTTTGAGGGGGGGGGGGGGTGCAAATCGAAATCTTGAGAGGGGGTGCAAATCGAAATTTTGAGGGGGGGGGTGCAAATCGAAATCTTGAGAGGGGGGTGCAAATCGAAATTTTGAGGGAGTGCAAATTGAAATCTTGAGGGGGGGGGGGGTGCAAATCGGAAAGTTTGTCCCCGGGCGCCGGGAAGGGTTGCTACGCCCCTGTATCGCCCCCAACAATTTTGCATTTTTAGTGGGGTGTCACTCCTTTCTCACCAATCTTTTACAATTTTAGCTGGATACAACTTTTTGACAGTAAATTTTATAATCTTTCGTCATGGTGTCACTTCTAAATGTTGTCGTCCGATGCGGACCGCCCCTCCGCTCCAGCCTTGTGACGCCACTGTGTTTGATAACTTAAAAAACAAATTAACTGTAAGCCTGTAACATTTTTACAAAACTAATGGTAGTAGGCCAATTTATAAACAATTAGTGAATCAACATGTACAGAATATTTATATTATTTAAAACCCTACTTCGTAAGTAAGAGTTGATTTCTTCTTGTAACTCCTTTGTAACCTGACGGCTAAAATTGGGGCCCACTGATAATATGTGCATAGGGGCACGGAAATCCTAGCTACGTCACTGATGCAGGGCTACGGGAAGTGTTGTTACAAGAACATAGATCGAATTGATTGTCCCATTGCTATATGTGAAATATTTGTCACACTAGTTGTGAACTATTGGACGGTTCTGGATTTAATTCCAAAGATATAGTAAAGTACTTTGCTGTTCTTGAAACTTTTACTCTAAGTGCCAAAGCTTGGATCAGTTCATCAAATGTTGGTAAGGAAAGATAAGATTTAACACCTGTCGTTTTATGTCCATATTTTTGTAAATAACTTGTTACATTTTTTTAACTATAAGAATAAGCTTTTAAATACACTGAAAATAAGAAAATAAAGCAAACTTGCTTCCTGTATTAAAAGCTTTGATCGATCATGAGATCTTTCACATATTTTATGAAAAAAAAGCTTTTTAAAAAGAAAGCAAATTTGTTTTTATTTTCTTAATTTGAGTGCATTTAAAAGCCCTGAAAAGCACTAATCCTCCGTTGGTTGTTGACCATCACACCATACCTCCACTGAGGCAAAGTTACATACATAATTTATTGGAATGATGTGGCAAGATAAATAATAGTGTAGCGATGATCTTTCATAGTATCTACTTCAGTGAAACAAAAAAAAATGGTTTCGGCAAAATTCAAAGAAAATTAATATTACGTATATTTCATCCAAGTTTTTTTTTTTTAAATTAACATACCTTACATTAACATTTTGATTAATATTTTAGACTAGATTAATTTTAAAATCAGAAATCATGAAGCATGTAAAATTGATCAAAGAGAGCAAGTAATTTATTTATAATATTAGTAAGGTCATTTAGAAATAACTGATAGATATAATATAATTATAATAACTAGTAATTAAGATTAATTTGTCAGCCTACATATATCTATTTAAATTAAAATTGAATAGCAATTACAAAAAACCTAAAACAATACTAACCTTGCAAGAAAAATATTATATATGGGCGTTAAATGTAACGGGGTACATAATATGTGTATATCATGTTATTGAATTGATCTGTCTCGTTTGTTTAGTTTTGATATTAATTTTTTAAGGAAATTAGGTTCCTTACGTCACGTGCAGGTATCCACTGGAGACCTGGAGACGGGTGTAAAGGTTTAGGTGAACTGTAGCTGTAAACAACGTAACCCTTTGGGCTTTGGCCAATGCGCTATTTGGCCGTCCAATATATATATATATATTGGACGGCCAAATAGCGCATTGGCCGGCTCTCTTGGCCAAAAGCCCAAAGGGTTACGTTGTTTACAGCTACAGTTCACCTATATATATATATATATATATATATGAATGATAGGCCTATATAATGTTATTTGATATGTGCGCATCACTATTTAAATATAACGAGATTCTTTTTAAAAGTTAACATGACTTACTTAGCATAAACCTTTTTAGTATAGTTAAAACCATATTTATCTGGCATAGCAAGTCCAAGGGGAAAGAACGCTGTAAGATAGATATCGCTAAAACTAGACTAGTAGGCCTATCTAGATTTAGATAGATCTATATTTTTTTTTTACTATGACTTGGTAATTCAAAATACATTTTTGTTGAAACATAAGTTTAATAAAAAATTAGTTTTTCAAACAGAAATCAATAGCAGTATATTATTTTTTAAAGGAAAATATCCATTCATTAAGTATTTTTATATTTTTACATGTTTTATGTTAATAATTGGGAAAATCCGATATGATTTCAACTTTTACATCTACATTTTGTTAACCGTGTTAAAATTTATTTTTTTAACTTTCATCTTAAATAGCTTCTGGAGCACTTGCAACCTATTAGATCTACTTGGTGATAGACAGTTACAAATATAATTACATTATAAGTTGAAAAAAATCTGTTGCAACTTCATTTACCAAAATAATTAATATACGCGGTGATGGCGGAGGAAGAGACTGATAGTGAGTTTATTATTAATATTTATATTATTAAATATTAATGTATAATTCATAATTAAAATTTTAACGGTTTTTTCAAATCTTTTTGGCTTTATTTAAAGGATTTTCTAAAGTATATCAATACTGATTTCAGGTATTATTCAAAATAATGTATGAAATGACATTTGTGCATGATATTTTTTTATTACATTTATAGTAACATTGACGTCACCGGAATTTCCCCATGTGTGGAGCAAGGGAAATTTCGTCGGTGGAAGTGTAAATGTATACGAGATTATCGACCCTAGCGAGCCAAGGGAGGTCAAGTTTGTTGGCAAAGATATTTCAGTCGCATCGACTCAAATCGAAAAGAAAAAAGTTAGTTGAGTTGTTAAAAATAATTTATTTGTCGAAAATTTGAAATAGTCATAAAATTTTAAACAATGTGAAGTTATAGGCATATTATTATTTATATTGTATTATTTATAAAAAAAATATTTATAGGCAGGGGCGTAGCGAAGGGGGGGGGGGGGCGGGGGCTGCGGACCGCACCGGGTGACACCATTTAGGGGGGTGACACCTAGGCAAAAAATAGCAAAATATATAGAGAGAAACTCGAGAGGGGGAGGGTGCAAATCGAAAACTTGAAAGTTTGTCCCTGGGAAGGGTCTCTATGCCTCGGGGGGGGGGGGGGGGGGTGACACCATTAAGTGCCGCACCGGGTGACACCCGACCTCGCTACGCCACTGTTTATATGCCTATATGTTATCATTTTCTTCTTATAGAATTTGGCTGAGTTGAGAATTCTGGAGCAGATAAAACACCCGCGAATTGTAGCCTTCTATGGTTTCAAACAAAACCCGAACCTTCTAACCATATTTTACAAATACATGAAACTTGTAAGTGAGTGCTGCTAGTAAAATTCTAATTAAATTCATAACCTATAAGCTTATATTATCTACCTCATTTAAAAATAAACTGTAATTTTTTTAATTATTCGTTTATTTAAATCAATTATTTCGGCTGATTAAAACAAATTCTAATTTATACAGCAACATGTCTCAAAGCGTACTTAAATACTAAGATTTAATAGACACCTGATCGTTACATTGATATTCTACCTGTACATAATTGGTCAATCAGAAATATCGCTTTCAAACATTTTTTTTTTTAATTTTTTATTAGAGTAATAAACCCATAATTTACCTTCAATTAATTAAAAGTTTAAGGTGTTGTTGTTTTTTAAATACCAAAACAAAAGAAACACCAATCCGTTAAAAAAATGTTTCAGGGTTCTGTGGCGAAGCTTATAAAAGAAAGAGGGTCGCCTCTAGATGAGGCCACAGTCCGACTCTACACTAGACAAATTCTTGAAGGCTTGAAATATTTACACAATAATAAACCGATCATCATTCACAGAGACGTCAAAGGTAGGACGATATTTCTCAGGTTTTATTTTGGGGTTTTATTATGTAAATACAACTTGTAACAAACAATATAATTTTAGTAGTATTTTAATGTCAATAATTTATTTATTTATTTTGTATTGTGAATCTTACCAAAAGTTTAGACAAATGGTGGTGCGCAATTAAAAAATAAATGCGTTCAACATACATAGTTACAGAGGCGTAGCGACCCTTCCCGGCGCCCGGGGACAAACTTTCAATTTGGCGCCCCCATCGGGAACAACCTATCAATTTTCAATTGCAACCCCCCCCCCCCGAACTTTCGATTTACACCGTCCCTCTCAAACTTTCAATTTGCACCCCCCCCCCCCTCCTCAAACTTTCGATTTGCATCGCGCCCCCCCCCCTCCCCACCATATTTTTTTTTATATTTACAATGCAAAACTGCAGCTAATATGAGATTTTAATTTGTTTTTCCAACCCATTTTGGCGCCCCCTAAGGTCGGCGCCCGCGGACATATGTACCCCCCCCCCCCCCCCGGCCCCCTCGCTACGCCTCTGCATAGCTATTCTTTACATATTCTTAACGTACAAGTATATAATTTGATGGTTTAGTTTTTATGGGACTAAACTTTAGGACCAGTTTTCAAAATCTGACAAAATAAAATTTAGAAGGCATATTTGTTTTAGGATGTGAAAACAACAGACAAAAACGACAATCTGGTACCCAGATTTGTTCTACCATACCAACACATGTCCAGGTGAAACAAACCTTTGTACCTTACACAGGTGAGAACGTGCTGCTGGAGTCACCAGACAAGGTCCAGCTGACCAACTTCGGACTGTCCAAGATCCTCCACACACTGACCAATGCCAGGTCAAAGGTCGGCACGTCCTACTGGATGGCGCCTGAGATTATCACAGGAACAGGGAGTGATAACTATGACGTCAGGGCGGATATCTGGTACATACATTTTGCAGTCTTTCTCATTTTTAATAAGATTGATTATAGTCAATAGTATCTCGTGATAGCACGGGCATTACTCGATAATAACCAAAAACCTATCAGTTCAACCAACTTTTATGGGTACCCAACATTAGTCGGGTTAAGTAAAGGGGATGCACAAAAGGCTGACAACATAACGTAAATATTGAAGGGAAAGAAACACGAACTCAAATATGTTAATTACCTTGACAGTCAGGTATGAAATGTTGATTACAGATTTGATATATTGTTGTTTTTCTTTTAAGTCGCATCCAGAGTTTCTTCCAGGCATCTCTTCGGGGGGGGGGGGGGGGGCAAAGCGCCCCCTAAAATTTTTTACCGCCCCAGAACGAAATGAAATTTATATAATTTATATAGAAAATATATACTTTTAACAGTGTCCGCCCTCCCCCCCCCGAAGAAAGTCTACCGCCCCCCCCCCCCCCCCGAAAATTTTAAGTGCCCCCCCCCCCCCGGAGAAAAAAGTCTGGAAGAAACACTGGTCGCATCCACTTCAATGTTAGATAGCATGCTTTTATTTTTCGTGTTTACTATCGGGTAGGGCCCCTAGCTTTTGATTTTTGCCCGCCCTGTGTATTTTATTTTCCCAGTACCCATAATACCTGTAGGACCTTGTCCTATCCAAGGATCATCGCTTGTCGTTATTGATAAATTTGTCTTATAGTAAACATCAATCTGTTGTAGGATGGTATGTGTGTCCGGGGTTTTAGTGTTAAGTTACAAACATGGTTACAATGTCCTGTAATCCTAATATATAATGGCCCATGTGCGTTCTTCTCTCTCTCTGTCTGTCCGCAAAATATTTTCGCCGGACATCACGTCAGAATCGGCAGCGATTTATGGATACCTTTATATGGACTTTTGTTGAAAAAAATATGTTAAATGTTTTAAATTTTTAAAGAAGAAAAATAAAAAATAAAGGCGTATTCGAATGTAGAGAAACAGTATTATTTATGCAACCAGAAAATTGTATAAACTTGAGACAAGAACGCATTTAACAATGACGTTGCTTATTGTTTACACTTAAAAAAGAGCACGAAACTGATGACGTCATCTTCCGAGGTTAGAATATAAAGAAATGAACTATTTCATTCAAATATGATTTAGAGCTATGTACGCTATGAAATGTATACAATACGATTTTCTCGGCCTAAACTTAAAAAAAGTTATTTTATCTATTTGGATTCTAGATCTAGATCTAGAGATTCTAGATCTAGATATTGATCTCGATCTAGATATTCTAGATCATCTAGATCTAGAGATTCTAGATCTAGATCTAGATGATCTATAAAGCTAAGTTGTCGGTTGCCCGATAGGGCACTTCCCGGCGCCGCAGGCGCTTCAAATTTGGCAGGATCTTGCCTTGGGGCGACAGAACACGGGGGCCGGTTGGCCAAAAAGTCTACGATAAGGGGGTCAAAACTGACCTCGACTGACCGGCGCCTTATATGGGCGAATTAATTAAGCATTCAAATTCTCAATGTTTTCGAAAGCCTAAGCGAAGCTGGGCAGCATGCCTTGTGTATTATGTAATAGTAAGTAGTAAAGTACCATTTCAAACCTGACGGTCTACGGGGCAAGTGAAGTAGAGTTCACTTGTTTCTGTGACCTCGGCATATGAAGGGATAGTGTGGTCAGCACTATGCCCAGACGCCTTTACTTACCCTAATGTGAGTTAGGTACCCATCAGAGCTGGGTGGACTCAGGGACGGTCTACTGACTTGAACCCGGATTCGAAATCGAGACGAACGGGTTAGCAGTCCAGCTCTCTACCGCTAGGCCACTCCATCTCATATTATGTAGTATGTGTTTGAGCAATGTATGGAATGTTTTATTGATCTCCAGGAGTTTAGGTTGTACTGTGGTAGAGATGGCCACGGGGAATCCCCCATTCGGTAACCTTGACCCCGTTGAAGCGGCTTACAAAATCGGCAGCGGTGAAAAACTGGACTACAAGCTGCCAGACACAAGTTCTAAGGAAATGGCCAAATTCTTAGGCAAGACGTTCCACAAGAATTTCAAGGATCGTCCAAGTGCTGAGGAACTGCTCAAGTCGGATCTATTTATAGCAGGAAAAGTGTAATAAAATCATCTATCACTAGTTTTAATAATAAACATATATTGAAATATTTAATAAAAAATTATATTTATAATGTGTTTTTTAATTCTATTGCTAGATGGCACTATAAATTTTAAGCAATTAAAATATTGCTGACGTCACACAACTGATCTGTTGACCATATCAGTATTATTCTATGTAAAATTGTGTGTATCAGCCGCTCCCACCCGTAACACAACGATTCATGTGTTGCAGAGGCGTAGCGATCCTTCCCGGCGCCCGGGGACAAACTTTCAATTTGGCACCCCCCTCGGGAGCAAATTTTCGATTTGCACCCCAACCCCCCCAAACTGCAAAAATGCAGCTAAAATGACATTTAATTTGTTTTTACAACCCATTTTTGCGCCCCCTAAGGTCGGCGCCCGGGGACATATGTACCTATGTACCCACCTGCCCCCCCCCCCCCCATCGCTACGCTTCTGATGTGTTGGGCTACATCCAAACCATATAGGTATCTATATTAATAATATCTTCAAACCGACACTTTTTAAAATCGTTAAAGCTTGAGTGGAGCAGGGGTGTCTCTGGGAGAAAACAAGTTGCAAATGTGGCTGTACACAGTTATGGTAAGTCCCGTTCTGGTGGTGAGGTGGGGGGGGGGGGGTAACCAACTCAGAGTGAACATAGCGTCAGCTGTTCTAAACATACATATACAATTATACATATACACTGATTCAGAAATAGATTTAAAAAGTTGCAGTGTTATTAAGACAATAAAGATTTTTACAGATGGGTGGGGGTAATAACCCACCTACGCCACTGTGGCCGGAAAGCTTCCAATGCTCAAATTGTCAGTGATGTCCAGGCCAATGTCAGATGATGTGAGGGAGGGGGGCGGTTTCGTTGTGTGTGACGTATTGCTCGGCTGTGTTTGTAAAGAGTTTTATATGCAATGCAACATGGACAAAAAGGGCTGTCAAACCAAGAGACAGACAGACCAAATGGCTGTGTACGAACGTTATTGTGTATATGAATGTATGTGTAGGAGTGTGTGTGTGTGTGTATCGAAATATTTGTAAATAAAAAGTTGAATTAAAAATTACACGTCGGTACCCGTCAATACCTACTTTTAATAAATGCGGCATTAAAAGCCTAAGGAATAGCATTGTATCCTTTTAGCGGTTAATATTGTAATTACATAGACTGATGTAGAATTGGATTTTATTTTTTTGACCAAAGATTTTGGGCATGTGACGTCTCCTTTTCCTTATTTACGCAACATTCTAGTAGTGGAAGACCATAACTTGACCTACTTAGCCACAAATATTTTAGCTATTTTGTTTTCAATATTTATCTGGCATGGTAAATCTAGCCGAAGATCAGAGCTACCACTAGTCCATACTCAAGGTTCTAGATCTAGATGCAACAACAGTAGACTTCTAGGTTTATAAATCTAGATTTTGATCTGTTATCACGAGATCTAGGTAATTAAACAATTAATTACACATTAATTGTCGATTGGGTAATCTATCGTTTTAGCGTAATCAATTCGGCTGCAATAGTAATGTGCGGGAGAGGTAGCTGATGAATATATTAAATATATTTGTTTAAATAAGTTTATTTAAGTCAAATTTTACAAAATATCACAGATAATTGATTTAAAATAGCAAACAGTGACCAAAACAGTTTAAATAACATGAAACTAACTTTAAACTAGGTGTTTGAGATAAATATTAGTAGAAAAAAAAACAGCGGCCATCTTTCCAAATAAAATTTAGAGTAGTTTCCCTGGATAAAAATGTCTATTCGTATGTATATTGTGTTGACTTTGTTGTTTAATATACATACCTGTCTTGTTTAATATAAGTAAGACAGAGGGCCGTCTTCTTATCTTTAATTTCATTTTTAAGTGAAATGAAGGCTATGCATGTATGTACATCCAAGATCTCAAAAATTTTGGGAGGTCCAACATTTACTAAACCCTTTTGTACTGATTAGGTCGTCCATAAATGACGTCACAATCGTAGGGGGGAGGGGGGGGGTCGGTAATTTTGTGACGATGTGTGATGACGGGGAGGGGGGGGGTTCAGATGGTGCTACGTCACACTTTTGCTTTATAGATAAGAAAAGTTAGAAAACGAATTTTAGACATTATTTAGCTTTTTAAAAAAAACAGTTTTAATAAATTATAATAGGAATTGATTAAAATACTATATTTTGACATATTTCAGACAAGATTTTGGAAAAATATCGATGTTTAAAAAAAAATCAACTGCAATTTTGAGGGGGGTGGGGGGGGGGGGTTGTAGGCTGATGTGTGACGTCATTTTAGGGGGGGGGTCTGACTTTTTGTGACGACGTGTGACGGAGGGGAGGGGGGGAAGTAAAAATCGTATTTAAAAAGCGTGACGTCATTTATGGATGACCCCTTAACTTGTCAATTATTAGGTCGTCCATATTCCTCATAAATGACGTTGGACTCAAAATATGGGACGGTGTAAAATATTTTTTTTCAAAAATGATGAAGAATATATTCGTTTTCGTTAGAAATTGTGATTAAGGGTTCGGGTATAGTAGAACTGCGATATGATATTAAATCATCATCTTGCTTTTAGTAACTATTGGGTGAGAGGGAAATTTTCGGGAAAAGTATGACGTCATTTATGGGCGATCCATTTAATTAAACCTAGTTGTTTATTTTGTCTGTAGACATTAGTCTTAGGCCTACACTTCTTCTGAATTAAGATTATTGTGTTTTTTAAAATAGGTTCAAATTTTAATTAGTTACAATTGAATACCACACATGGTTTGTTGTTGTTTTTTTTTTCTTTGCCTTCTGCTGTCATCAGTTTTTGATTTCTTCAGTAGTCAATGTTTACCCCTCCCCATCATCCATTATTACCAAAAAAAAAAAAAACACCCACTATAGGCTATGTGTCATAGCGTAGATATATAGAATTAGACGAGTAGAGGTTACTAAGGACGGTACGAACTTGACGGTAGACGATTTGGTGCGAGAGTATTGTGCGCGTGTTCAATAAAATATGTGTGGCGTGAGTGTGACGTGAGCATGGTGCGACAATGTACCGATGACGTAAGACGCAGCAGTGAAGTTAGTTGGGAGTTAGATATAGTAGAAGACGGATGTATTATTTGATATTGTGAAAATGATCTATAAGTGTGTGTTAATTAAGTTCATGTTATTTCATAAACGAAGTTGTTGACATTGTTAATTAGTGTCTGCGGAACATAAGAGTGATTCCCGTCCTCCTCACGAGTATAATAGTTGCCGTATGAATAGTAGTAGATCAGAATATATTGAGATTATATATAAATCGCCCATCACAATATAGTGATATCCCACTCTAGAAAAAAAAAACTAGATCAACGTATAGTTCGTAGGAAAATTAGAATCTATCACTTATTCGTCTGTTAAAAAAAAAAAGAAATACGTCATTTTTCTCAACCACGCCGTTTCATCCCCCACTAAGCACAACGTCACAAAGTTCGCGGCGCGCGTGACGTCATTTGTCATTAGGCTAATGTTTAAGAAAGATACCGCGTAATTAAAAGAAAATCAAAACAGGCCCTAAATCACTATGGCGATGAGACTTTAACGACGTTTAGCCTGACGAATAGATCTAAATAACTTTAGTTCGGTGAATTATATTGGTGTTTAATTTATTACAGTGGCATGATGTTCTCCCTCTACTATACAAATTCACGTGCTTTTAATTTCTGCAACCTGCTGCCCTGAGACGTTCGGCTCTAAAATGCCCGTGATACAGCGGCTTCGGTAAATGCATTTAGGCTCCCAGTCCCACCTATAAACGTCTGTCCATTAAGCTCCACGCAAAACGTGTGATTAATATGTGAACATAAGCGGCGCTAGTGGTGGTGTCAACAGGGGCCAAGCTCAGGTCTTAAAGGTGCTCCGCACTTCATAAAAGACAAAATTGATGTTCAGATATCGTCGGACTCTGGCGTTTTGCCGACGGCCGTACTCCTAATGCACAGTCTTAGAGGCTGTCCACTGCTAACACTATTTTATGTTAAATTCAAGCCTATACTATGAGCTGTGGCTTTACATTAGCTCAGTGGCGTAGCGAGGTCGAGTGTCACCCGGTGCGGCACTTAATGGTGTCACCCCCCAGAGGCGACAAACTTTCAATTTTCGATTTGTCCCATTTTACCTGCTAGTCAATACTTGTCGAATATTGTTGACAGGAGCTACTTGGTTTGAGCCTTGTTGTCAGAAGTTATTTCATTTGGAGTCAATATAGTGCGGCCTATTTTCGTCGGTAGGCATTTAGTGGCAGGCCCTTTTTGGAAGGGATGATGTGCTGAGGTTGTTTAACACCGCTTAGTACAACAGGCATGCAATAGTTATGATCATTCGTTATGAACAAAAGTATGCATGAAAACGAACGCTTTATGTTCCTCATTTTCACTGAGCACAGCTTTATAGAAGATTCCAAAATAGACGTCACGAAACCCCCCCCCCCCCCCCCCCGACCACCCTGCGTAACTTGACGTCACATTAGCATTGCATATGTGACATCGTTTATGGGCAACCCCATATAACTCATTTTGGGTATTTGGTATCAACATTTTGACAACAAAGGTTGTTCAAAATGTGTATAGGACTTGACATCTACCCTAAATGACATCGCACACTTAAGGGGTGGAGTAACTGGTTTTGAGACGACGTTTTACGCGGGAAGTGTGAGGGGTAAGAAACGTGAAACGTTATGTATTTCGCCTAATACAAAAATGCTAAAAATATTTTTCATTAGAATTATGGCTTGACTTTTCAATAGACATGGCAAAAAGGTAATTTTCGACATTACGACTATTTCGTGACGGCAAAAATGGGGGTGGGGGGGGGGGGGTTAAGGTGAAGAGAGGTCAAAAACGGGACGTCATTTGTGATTAAATCACTAATTAAAGGAAAAAAGCATGAAAATATTAAATGAAAGTAGGAAACAAACAATAACACAAACAATAAGAATGAACTCAAACTAATATTTAAATAAACATTAGATATGTAGTGGTAGCTCTATAAAAATAGGGAGTATCTTAATGTATAAAAATAAAAATCTCATAATAATAATTATAGAACTGATGTTTATTGTCAGTCAATTAAATTGTTTAAAGGGCAGAATTTAAAAAAAAAAACGCATGCTTTGTATTTAAACACAAGACTAACCTATTTAACAGCAAACATCAATACATTTCCATACAAATAGAAATTAAAGGGAAATGACTCAAAATAATATTTTCTTAAGATGGCCGCCGTTTTTAATAGCAAATTTAGTATCTGTAACATCGTTGTTAAACTTTAATTTCCTGACATTTTTATTGATTTAAACCTTAAATGTGGTTTAATATTCAATTATCTTTAGTATTTTAGTAAAATATGCAAAAATATATCCATATTTAAGCCATATTTATTAGTTACCTTATCCCTACATTACTAGTGACGGCCGAATTGATTACGCTAAAGCGATAGATTACCGTCGATTGTATATTAATGCAAATATTTTTTTTCGAAGTGTCTACTCGGAATAAGATTTTTCGGCAAAAGATAGTTCTGCGCATGCGCAGTGACCTATGGCTAGGGTTAAAGCTAGAATGAGGGTTAGGGGTAGGAATAGGGATAGGGTTAGGGATAGGATTAGGGTTAGGGTTAGGATTAGGGTTGGTATTAGGGTTCTGCGGTTGTAAACACACGCATGCGCAGTACCATCGAAAACATCGCCGCTAAGTCGTAGTTTCTCTCCATTGCGCATGCGTATCGCATGCGTATCTTATTCCGACTAGAATCGGCCATTTTTTTTTACTAATAAACTAACGCAGTCCGATGAGTTAGATCTAGATCTAGTTCTAGAATCAGTACGGCGTGTTGTATGCAGTGACAGCGCTGAAGGCGCGAGCATATTCCGAGTACTTACGAATTCAGTGGAACGCTGACTAAAAATTTTAAATAGTCAGGCCAATTGAGTATAAATACTATTCAGTGGCCTTTTTCAGAGCTAGCGCCAAAAAAAGGCAGCTGAAAGAGCATTTTTTAAAATACGCAGCAATGGAAAAGGCTAACGGCCGATCAATTAAGTCTAAAAATCGCCCATAATTAGGCCTAGCTCTGAAAAAGGCCACTGAACGAGCATCACTAATTATATAAACTATCCCACGCAGCGTTGACGAGGTTAACCACCGCTATCGAATTAAATTCAATGCAGCTACTGTCGGCCCACAGAGAAGAAAAAAATCAATATACAAATAAAATTACTAATACAATAATAATGTCCATAATTTTACTTTTTCCGTACACGCTACAATTGAATTATAATTAAAATACTAGACTTAACAGTTCATTCCGCAAAAAACAAAAACTAGTTGTTTCTGTGAGGTAACTAGCGTAACAATGACGTCATGATACTAAAAATAGCGGATAGAAATGTCAGCGTGGGTACCTCATTTTGGGATAAGATTTTGGAAACCAGAATCAATAATAATGTAAACATACAAGGTAAATATCTCAATTATATATTAATTTAGAGGAGGTCGGGCCGTTTTCCCCGGAGGTCGGTCGTCTTTATAGGTGGTTCAGTTTTTACGGAGAGTGCTCCACAGAAATCCTCTCATTATTTACAACAAATCTCTCAATTTTTTCTGGCATTCTAAGGCATATTATCCATTTTATTAGCATTTTGCATTAAAATAATTATGAGAATTTGCGAGATTAACAGTTTTTTCATTTGTTGTGGATAGGACCCCAAAAATAAACGTAAAAACCGTCAGAAAACGACGTATGACGCTTCAGGGTCAGAGGTCAATCCAGCCAATTTAAGCAACGAGCCGGCCTATTAATTAGTATTATTTATTTTTGTACCTATATCGTTGTTTTAAAAGTTCTATTAATTTTAATGAAACCAACTTTTGAATTTAGCCACCATTCTCCAAACCAAATTTTAAAAAGCTATTCTGGCATATCTAGCCCTGACACCTATGATTGTTTTTATAATGCCAAAAAACCCCTCCATTTAAACATTTTAAACGGTAATTCTAAGAAGGTCACTGGAACTAAGACAAAAAAATCGTCGGAAGTCATGCATCCGGTCTGTACGCCATATTGTTGCTAGCATCCAGCCATGCCTCCGGGTTAGCGAGTAATACTAGTAAATAGCGAGAGAAAATTTGCGAAAACAAATTTTGTTTCATGTTTTTTGGTTGTTATTTTATAGTTATAAGCTAAAGAATCTGATATATATCTCTTGAATATTGTGTTCTTTTTTAAAAAAAAATCTAGTTTTGATTTTATATTAGGCCCTAACTTAAACAATCTTAACATCCCCTGACACCCGCTCTCGTTTACTTGTCAGCGGGAGAAAAATCAGATGTAATATATGGATAAAATAGTCTCTGTAAATTATTTATAGTAACATCTGCATCACCAGGATTTCCCAAAGACTAGAGTAAGGGAAGTTCTGACTGTTGAGGCGTTAATATGTACAACATTATCGACCTTTTAGAGGGCCAAGCAAGGTCAAGTTTGTCGGCAAAGATTTTTCTGTGTCAGCTGCTCAAGCAGGAAAGGAAAATGTTAGTTTTGTTGTTAAAATTAATCTTTAAGTCTAGGCTAGAAGCTTAATTATTATTGATTATAGACTAATTTTAATAGTAAAATATAAAATATCACTCTATTTATTGAGTCATAAAAAGTAAAGTTCCCTTAAAAATATAATGGGGCAAGTAAGTAGGGTTCACCTGTTTCTGTGACCTCGGCATAATATGATAGTGTGGTCAGCTCTATGCCCAGCCAGCTCTGCTTTTATTTTTAATGTTAGGTCATGTACACATTAGTGGAGCTGTGCAAATACATGGATGTTTACAGACTTGAACTCAAATTTGAACCCGAGGCTTTCGGGTTAGCAGTTGTATGTTCTACTATTTGACTGCCCCACCCTATTTGGTCCTATTTTATGCACTGTCTTAGTTATTCCGTTTTGTTTGAGAATTAAAAGATAAAATCAATGTTTAAAAATATGTGTTTGTTTGTTCGTCTTCTATTTGTTATTAACTTGGCTATTTCCCTTTGTAAAAATTCTGTCATAAAAAACTTAATTGGCTCTATGAATATAAACATAAATCAGTAAATAAAATAAATATAACTTTCAAATATTCCATTTGTAATAATATATCTACATAGAAATAAGCCTATCTGTTAACAATGATAGTATTGTAAGCATGTACTTATTTATAAAACAAAACATCAATCTCTTCTTTATCTTAGGGATCTTTGGCCAGACTGATAAAATAAAAAACACCACTAGAAGGTACCTCACTTGATTCACTAGGCAAAATCTACAAGGATTTAACAAACTACACAAAAATGAACCGTCCAACATTCTCAGAGAAGTCTATGGTAAATGGAAATCTTGTTACCTTAACAGCTTTTTAAATATATAAATACAACTTGAAATTAATATTATAGTAATATTATTAGTAAGGTCTTTTACATTTTTTTTTGTTTTGTGGACCTGACACATATCTACTAAGTGTTTTGAAGTTGTTATATTAAAAGTGTGAAGAGAATGTCTACAGGGTGTCGTCATTTATATTATGACCAGTGTTCCCTATTAGCTGCGCAGTAGTTTTTTAACCTGTCGCGCAGTCCTTTTGTATAATACAAAAATCCTTGTATAATACTTATAGGACACAGCGCACACAAAATACTAGTTGGACACTAGCCTTTTCCCCTTAGAGGGAATGTTGATTATGACCCAGTTATATTTGTGTGTATATTATTAGTATTCCTTTTGTTTAAATAACTTATTTTATTTTTGTTGAAGATAACTTCTGAAGTGGAAGAAACTGATGGTACTACTACAACCTACTTTCAAACATTCATGGATCTGTTAAAACAGTACTGGTCAAAGCTTATCACCATAACAAATCAGAACCTCATCATAGATTACTTTCACAAAGACAGGTATAACATCACCAAGTGGTTTGAACTCATCAAACAAAGTCAAGTCATAAGCTACCTGCAAAAGATTAACCTAGAAGGTCAGGACATTGACCTTATTTTAAGCAATCAGTCAAGCCATGAACAATTCAAGGATGCTCTTGTCTTCACCAGTGTTGTTTTAAGTTACAGTAACAATCTACTGGAGGTACTCAAGGAACCTTTGCAATTAGAGAAGGTAATTTTTAAAAAAATTTTTTGTTGTAGGCCTATTTTCTCACATTTTATCAGCCCTCTACTCCAGTTTAGTACTACTCACCTTACGCTGTCCTATAGAAATATACTTGGATATTCAATAGTATATCTATTTTCAATATGTAAATAGATTGTTTTAGCATAGGAATGTAATTTCCATGTCAGTGTGTGTATTAGTAATGAGATTGTCTTTTTTAATCTTATGTATTACTATTAATAAAATTTTCTAGCATTTAGCTGAGAATTATCAATCTTTATTAACCTGGATCATAGCCGGCCTGGCTTTATAGATAATAAGGTGTTAATCTAATAACACTGGCTTGGTGAGATATAACATTATTGAGGTGGAAACTCATATCATGACTCTCAATCTAATGTGAAAATGACAAACATTTTGTTTATTAACATTTCTTATCCTGTTTTGTAAATAATGCTCAGTCACAATAAATTTTAAGAAAGTATATAAAAAGATGTTCAAAATGCTATGTTATGATGAATATACAGATTCTTAGTAAAAAACATGTATAAGTATCGGCTTAAAAATAAACTAAATAAATAATTTTCTAAATTTGGCATCAGTATTTTGTGGAGATGTATACATATTTCTGTATTATTATTCATAGTTATCAACATAATGTATTTCATCTTTAAAAAGTTATATTTTAATATCCTAATATATAAAAGCCCATGTGGGCACCTCTCTTTCTGTCCGCAAAATTTTTAAGTCTGTGAGATCAGTATCTTCAGCAATATATGGAGAGCATAATAATACAAACTTTTGTTGAAAATAATATGTTGGATGTATTAAATGTATAATCTAAATTTTATTTAAAAAATAAACATAAAGGCATATTCGACTGGAGAAACAGATTTTTTAATTATGCAACTGGAAAAGTGTTTATGGTTGTGACACGAATGTAAAAAACAATAATGTCACATGTTTAAATTAAAACTATGGAAAGTACACAACACTAATGGCATCATTTTCCAATTTTAGAATATGAAGAAATGAACTATTTCATTCAAATTTGATTTAGATCTATAAATCTACTTATCAAGACATTGTATAAAATGTATACAATTTTCTCGGCCAAATCTAATAAAAAAAACATAATTACCATTTAACAGAATAATTTAAGTCTCTTCATCAGTGTGTTAATTTAATATGGTGTTGTGTTGACTAATAATGTAAATAATTCAGTTTTTCTAATTGGTATTGGTAGCCTATGTTATTTTAAATGTGTAGGATTTTTAACTATTTAGTTATTGCTTTGCTTTGTCAAATATTTTTCTTAAACAAGTTTAACAATAAAAGTTATATAGGCCTATAATTCACATGTAACGAGTACCCATGGCTAGTTTTATCATAGTTTCATGAATAACAAATCCTGTTTGTTTCACTCTTATTTGACGAAGTATTTTTTATTTAACTGAACACATGTTCGGGGCAGGCTCTATTATTGGCAGACTTTAAGGAACACTTTTATACATCCAAAACATTTAATCAAAGCTAGAGTAATGCATTGATAAGTCCCATTTTGTGCTTTTCCAATCATTTTTAAAATTTAAATAGATTAGTTACTATAAGAAATTATAAAATTTTGTAATACCTTTGTTTATATTTTAATTCTGACTAGTTAACTAGTAGTAACAGATAATTTTACAATAAAACATACATATCTTATCAAATACATTTCTCCTTTATCCTGTTGACTTAGATCTCCACTGAGATGAAACCATTCTATCAAGTTGTAGAGACAGTCTCCAAGGCTATCTCCATGTTCCAAGCTCTCATGCCATGGTCTTTCTCTGTGTGTCTGATACAATTAGACAGCCAAATGGACAAACTCAAAGCTGCAATAGAAAACATGAGCTTCAATTTTGATGACCAGCAGCTTGCTGAACTAGAATTGAGTCAAACTCTGGTTGTGTCTGATGTTGATATATTGTGTTGTGTATTGGGACTTCAAACCAAATTTTCACAATTTGCTAAACATGTGAGTGTGGACATGTGGTTACATGACCTACAGCGAAACCAAGTTGTGAATTGGTTGGAACGTAACAGTGAAGGGGAATCTCTGCCTCAAGCTGACCGTAACAGTGAAGGGGAATCACTGCCTCAAGCTGACCGTAACATTGAAGGGGAATCTCTGCCTCAAGCTGACTGTAACAGTGAAGGGGAATCTCTGCCTCAAGCTGACCGTAACAGTGAAGGGGAATCTCTGCCTCAAGCTGACCGTAACAGTGAAGGGGAATCTCTGCCTCAAGCTGACCGTAACAGTGAAGGGGAATCTCTGCCTCAAGCTGACCGTAACAGTGAAGGGGAATCTCTGCCTCAAGCTGACCGTAACAGTGAAGGGGAATCTCTGCCTCAAGCTGACCGTAACAGTGAATGGGAATCTCTGCCTCAAGCTGACCGTAACAGTGAAGGAGAATCTCTGCCTCAAGCTGACCGTAACAGTGAAGGGGAATCTCTTCCTCAAGCTGACCGTAACAGTGAAGGGGAATCTCTGCCTCAAGCTGACTGTAACAGTGAAGGGGAATCTCTGCCTCAAGCTGACCGTAACAGTGAAGGGGAATCTCTGCCTCAAGCTGACCGTAGCAGTGAAGGGGAATCTCTGCCTCAAGCTGACTGTGAAGCCATGTCCTCAGCTAACACACTGAGGAAAAAACTGCTATTGCTGGGGTTTACATCATGGAAGGCAGCATCAATAGCAGAAAACATTTCTGAAGATTGGATCAACCATCAGTCAGCTTTAGAGGTGGCCACAACTCACATCTTAGACATGTTCCAATGTCATCCTGTGTTAACTGTGGCCAGTGGATTTCCTTACACCAGTACATTAACTGATGCATTGTTTGACCAAACCGTTGAACATCTCACGAGGACGCCAAGTCTATTCTAACTAAAGGGATTCGTTAACGCAGAGGTCGCCAGTTCCAGGATTTCTCCCATGGTGATGGATTCTATTTATCCTATGTTTTAGAACACGCACAAGAAAGAGCCATAAACAAGTCCAAAAGACCTGCAGTTATTGTGTACAACATTACTGAGGTGACCCTTCAAAAATTCTCTGGACTCAACCTTTTTGATGACATTAATTCTTGGCGTACAACAGTGAAATACTGCCAGAACGGCTATGAAGGACTAATGCCTGACAATTTTTCTGATTTTCACATTGTCACTGGACCAGTGTGCAGTAACACAGGGGATGTAAAAGAAAGGTATCAAGAACATGTGACTCGTGTTGTTAAGAAAAAACAGTTGTGTGTAAAAAACCTGAATTGGCCAAACTTTTCAACCTCCCTAACAATATTGTATGTGTCATCTTCTTTAATGAAACTATCCAGTAAAAGGTTTCAGAATGATCAGTCTGTTTTTAAAAAAAAACTACATGATGTAGTAATTTCATATATATAGCCTACCTACCATAAATATACCTAACAACAATGAATTAGTTTATTTTATGTTATTGCAACATAAATGTCAATACATTCCTATGTGAAATACACCATTTTGATAATGTTTTCTTAATGTCATACACATGGTTTCAAGGCTTAGCATAATGCTATTTAATAGTTTTCTTAAGACAAATAAGTTGATGAGAGATGTCTATTGTGTATTCTTGTGTGTAGCTGCTTCTTCAAATAGGAAAGACATTTCTATTTAAGACTCGTAAAGTAAATTTAGATTTTTAGTAAATGAAAACAAGTGTATGATATACAATTAATAATTATAATTCCAGTTGATGTACTATTTTTGTGTTGTTGTATGTTTAATAGTTTAGTCTACTGATTGATGAATCAAAAATTTGTAAATATTTCAATATTAAAACTTTGCTATTCAGTTAAAGTATCTACTCTGTACAAATGTATTTTTTTTAAATAAATAAAACCATTATTACTGCATTTAGTGGGTCACTAGTGCATCATTTTGTTATTGAAAAATTCAACAAGCTTTTGTGTTTTTAATTATCTCTAACTAATTATTATGTGAATAACATTGTTGTGGAACCCACTGACACCAGTGAATCAAACCAATCGTACAACATAAAATACAAATTATTGAAAATACTTTTACAAATTCTTATTGAAAAAATGCTCATTAAGAAAAACATTAAATTTAAAATCTGTGCACAAACGTTAATATAAATCACATTATTTTATGAATGCAAGGTTAAATGTACAGTGAACTGAATATGCATGGGCTAAAAGTAGCATTCAAAAATAAATAAGAGCACATTCAAAGTTGAAACAAATAAAGACCACTAGTAGCTATTTAAATATATACAATAAACTGCAAATTATTTAATGAATGCGTGTTTAAAATAAATAGTCATACGCAAATAGCGAAGTTACTGAATTAAAAATTGTAACTATGTTTGAAACGTCAGTAGCAGTTTAATACATGCTTTAATTTTGGCATCGTAAAATGTATACATTAATGTTGTTAAGTTACTCCGCGAATATAAAGCTGATTTCAGTCTGTCTATGATGGAACTGGTCCCTCGTTTATTGCACATTTCACAGTGCAAACATAACCTGTTTCTAACTTATCAGGTGCCAATTTTGTTGGTCGCCACAAATAGAAGAAATTTAAATGTCATTGCATAACGGGTGTTATAGAAGAACTCTTAATGCAGTGGACAATGGGATACAGTGTAACAAGCGGACAATGTCTTATCTAGAGCAATATTTTAATATCAAATATGCTTGTAAAAACAATACAACTACTTCTTCAAAACGTAGTAAATTAACTACTGGAATTCGAAGTTTGGGTATAGAGGCTTAGCATGATTTTTTTGGAGACATTTTTTTTATTCATCATAATAAATAGGCCTAAATTACACGAGTTGAAATAGTTGGATGTGTAACACATTGTATTTATAATACAAGGAAATAGGAGGTTTATAACAACTGCATTAAATATTTATTTACAATTTAATAAAATAATAACTAATTGAATGAAATATATTCTCATTTCAGCAAACATTGTTAGAAATAGAAATATATTTTAAATAATGAACACATGTTTCCTCATTAGCCTACATACTTTCATTTGTTAAAAGTTGAAATCACCTCTGAATGATATCAGTTATTTTATTATGTCTGCAGATTTTTTAAAAAGTTCACTCCTAATACAACCTGAGCAGTAAAAACTGATAGATGATATACATTATTTTCATAGAACGCAACGTTTCGGCTATCTTATTATTGAAAACACATTTTGCAACAGATTGTGATCAATATATTCAGTAAAATGTTTCATATAGACCTACTCCAGTACGTAATATAAATATTTATTATAAATAAAACATTAGAAATAATAATATGCTGACATTATTGATTATAAAATCTTGTTGAGATATATTTGGTTTTATTAAACTGTACGTAATTTAAAAAGATGTCATTTTACGAAAACACAATCTATGACTTAAACATTGATTTTGTTCACTTACAACAAAATCTAGCAATATATCCTAAATCAATTAATTTTCTTTAACACTTTGTTTGATAATTTTCCCCAAAGTTAACTAACAGTAACATCGATTTTGCTTAGATTAGAACAAAATTTAAAATGTGTTTGATAAAAATTATTAACAAATTAATCTATCTATAATAATAAAAAGTCAGCAACAACCACCGTGTTTTACTTAGAAGCTCCAATAGCCTCAGCTCACAAAACCTATCTAAAATGTAGCAGAAACTTGTGCGTTCATCGACATTTAATTAACCGGATTATATATTCTATTTATAAAACCACTCATACAATCGATAAACATAATAGTATGAAGTTCCCACATTGTTTAAAGTAATCATAACTTACGATTGTGTTTACTACGGTAATTAAATTAATTGTTGATAATTGATGTTTTTTAATGTTTAAAATTACACGGCAAGTAAATTTCTAATGGGAAAAGATCAGTTAACGTTTAATGGATTGCTAATAGCACATATATTCTCGGCTAACTATCCCCTTGCACGATGATATTCGATTTTTTAATTACTAATAAAAATTTATAGTTTTGTTGTAATGTAATTGGCTAATTAACAATTAAACACATACATCCCTCAGCAGGTAAGTATTCACGTCATGATGTGAATGATAGAGTAGGACCCTACAGAGATTTTAATGTTTCAGCTGTTTCACCGTTACTAACATTAATATAACCGGTTGCTATATTAATAGTTGAATACATCAGACAAACATTGGTTAAGATGCACAATATTTTTTAATGTAAGATATTATGCAGTAGGACGCTCAACATTTCTATAAATTGTTTCCACACAGGAGATTGAATTATTATGCTTGTAGAAATATACTAATTTAAGTATATAAAACCGTTGTTACTGCTTATTTCTGCTAAATCCAGCAAGATGCAGAGTTGCTAATTTTCTAGGCTAGAAAAATATCAAAATAGTAATGTAAGACTCTTTAAGGGTTTTTTTTTTTTACGTTATTGAATTTTTGAGATTTTTTTTTTGTAGCTTAATTAAAGCATAAAACCGTTAGACCGCTATAACGCAACTAATTTCATCGATAATAATCTGAAGTAACCAAATAGTTTATCTGTATAGTGACAAATCGTTTGAAATTTCTTGAAGGGACGTATGTTGTTTGTTACTAGCTATACTATCTCTACTAAGTTTTAATAAAACAAAACAAAAAAAAAATCAAATCTTCGAATATTCTTTAAAGATCGAAGCAGCTAGGACTATTTATAGTTTTTTTATAGAGAGTTTTCAAGTTTATTGAATTGGAAAGTTTGACCCGGGATGTTGTAAAATACTCAACTGACTTAAATTCTGCAATTGTTTAAAACATAACAAAAGAGTAGTGTTACAGTAAAGTAAAATTTTGCAAATGCTTAAAACCTAACAAAAGAGTATATTACAGTAAAATTAAATTCTGCAAATGTTTAAAACATAACAAAAGAGTAGTATTACATTAAAGCAATGTTGAAATGGTGGTGTTGCATAAGGGAAATAATTCGGCCTGGATAAGTGCTTAGATATTTTCAGGATTATGCAACTCCCTTCTATAACTGTTCACAATCGTTGTTATATTAACCTTTATATATAATCATATACTTTTTTTTATAATCGGTTTGTGTATGGTGTTATAACTAGTCAACATAGCGCAGAACATTTAATTGACAGGTTCTACGACATACGAGCTAATAATAGAACTCTATAAAAATGGCGTCGCTCAATAGTACTGTAACGTTGGGATCTTCCCCAATGGTGCCTAAATATATTCTAGACATCTTCATGGCTGGGAACATTATCTTCGGGGAGCTGATAACTATCATCGGCATCATCGCAAATATCATCAACATCGTCATCTTTCGCAGACAAGGATACGACGACACCGTCAACATTTCGTTAACCGCTCTAGCGGTCAGTGACCTGGGCTCGCTGGTCACCCTACTGCCGTTTAACGTCATGGTCAACCCGTGGTTCGAATCTCTGGACCTGAGCTTCGTACCGCTGGACGTGTCCGTGTTTCTCTCCTTTTACCCCCATAACTACTTCATCCGTGTCTGTGGGTTCATCACGGCCTTCGCTGCCTTTGAGCGATGTCTTTGTGTTGTCCTGCCTCTGAAAGTCAAACAAATCATCACAAAAAAAGTCGCTATCACAACAATTATTTGTATTTATCTCATCACTCTACTAAACGAGTTCCCCTCATACTACGTCATCTACCTAGACTGGAAAAAAACAGCTCGAGTGAACAAAACTGTTCTTAGTATCGCCTTCAGAAGCTACAGCAGCTCCGTGTTCAGTGTGTCGTATTTCATAACAGACATGTTAGTCCCACACTTTACTTTCCTGGTTCTCATTGCATGTACGTCCATCATCGTATTCCAGCTAAAGTCAAGGTCCAATTGGATTCGATCCATATCCAGTACAACTAAAAAAGTCGCGACCATCTCTAACAAAGAGAAGAAAGTCGGGCTAATGCTGGTTGTCGTGTCGGTGTGTTTCATCGTCTGTCTGACGCCGCAGACGGTCATCATGTCAGCCGTGTGCGTCGTGCCGGGCCTGGGTCTGTACGGCAAGTATTTTGACGTGGCCTCCGTCATCTACTGCCTGGCCTACTACTCTGAGTCTATCAACTCCAGTCTCAACATCCTCGTCTACTACAAGATGAGCTCCAAGTACAAGAAAGAGATTCATAAAGTTTTTCCATTTCTCAAAACCCTCAGAGATTACAAGGTAAAATTGCTCAGTGAAACATCAACCACAGATATCATGTAAAGCCCACATTGAAAACCAAAACCACAGATGTAATGTAAAACTCACATTGAAAACCACAACCACATATGTAGTGTAAAATCCTCATTTAAAACCAACACCACATATGTAATGAAAACCCACGTTGAAAACCACAACGTGTGTGTGTGTGTACGACAATACGTTGTCAAATCTTGCTAGACCCTAGATCCAGAGTTTCTTCTAGGCATCTGTTCGGGGGGCGAAGCCCCCCCCCCCCCACCCGAAAAAATTCTACCGCCCCCCGAACGAAATGAAATTTATATAATTTATATAGCAAATATATACTTTTAACAGTGTCCGCCCCCACCCCCTCCCGAAGAAAATCTACCGCTCCCCACCCTGAAAATTTCAAGTGCCCCCCCCCCCCGCCCGGAGAAAAAAAGTCTGGAAGAAACACTATAAGAGTATCTAGTCTTATAAGATTTTTATAGGCAACACCAGAAAATACTTTCTTATTTGCATAACCACAATTTGCCTAATGGTGGCAATTCCTTTATCATTTCATTTGTCGAAGTATAATCTTCATGCTCTAAAGTAGAATATTCAGTTAAAGGCTTGGTATATAAGCCAATGTTACTATATGTATTGTATTTTTTGATACTTCATCATGTATGTTGTTTCGTTAGTTGCAGTTTAAACGCTCTAATGTTTGATTAAATCGTTTCTTCTAGTCGTGTTTGTATTAGCAGATTAATTATGTCTTGATGGTAATGAATTGTGAACGATTTTTATAACATTTCTACAACAAGCGTTGTCAATTCTTTAACCTTTTCGCAAATGTTCTTACAAACTTTACTTTGTAAGCTACATCGTATAGTAGAATACATATTTTTCTATACGTTTTGTAGCGTCCAAAACATTAGTCCGGGTATCTTTAAAAGGAAATAGGAGACATGTACATATTTTACCAATGTAGTATGACGTTGTTCGAATAAAATGTTAACAACTTGTAAACGGAGAGTATACCCCTTGGTAAGAGTGTGTGCTAGATCACGTTAAGATTTGGGTTGTAAAAACTGTCTCACGTTGTTTTTATTCTTGTTGTTCTATTCACTCTTGTGGAGCCAATTTTTCATATTTTTTTAATAAAATCAAAAGGAAAGAGTAGTTTTCTTATTTCAACTCTTAACTTCGTCTACTTGATGTAACGAGCTATAAAACAAAAGCGGTCAAGTGCAGTGTTTTTTCCAGATTTTTTTCTCCGAGGGTGCACTTGAAATTTTCGGAGGGGGGGGGGGCGGACACTGTCAAAAGTATATATTTTCTATACAAATTCCATTTCGTTCGGGGGGGGGGGGGTAGACTTTCTTCCGGGGGGGGCGGTGTCCCCCCGAAAAGATGACTGGAAGAAACTCTGGTCAAGTGTATCCCTACTACATACACCCACCTAATCAGCACGAGTCATCAGAAATTTTTTACCAAAATATCATGTGGTTTTTTAAAGTGTATTTGATTGCTCAACACCGGTTAAATTCACAGAAACAAAGAGGACACGACGTAAATAACATCCGCGTTGTTGAGGGCTCTCTACTGGAGACAAGCTTTCGTGTAACACTTCACAATCAACTCAGCATAACCGGATTTATCTGCAGTATTATTTCTTCAAAAACACATCGAACTTACACGCGAGAAGATAAAACACAAACAATTATTATTTCACGGTATGACTTTGTTACACAGGCAACAGAACAAAAATGTACCTAATCTTTATTATTATATTTTAAAAAAACACCGGTCAGCATTAAATAAACAAAAAGGATACGACGTAATTAACATCCGCGTTGCTGACGGCTCTCTACTTGAGACAGGTCTACGCTTTACACTTTACAGTCTATTCAGCGTAACAGGATATATCTGCAGGATTAGTTTTACGATAAAACATCGTATTTACATGCGAGAGTTTTACGATAAAACATCGTATTTACATGCGAGAGTTTTACTATAAAACATCGTATTTACATGCGAGAAGATAAAACCCAAAATATTTTTAATTCACAAATTTTATAGCGTGTCTTAATCGAAAAGGCAATGCCAAAAAATGTACTCTATACTATAATTTTAAAACTTGCTACTCGTCACACGCTATGGAGTGATTGTATTTGAAATATAATTCAGTTATTTCCAGTACGTCCTGTTGTTTTAATTTTTAGTCTCTATTTTTTCAAGCTAATTAAGCTGAGAATTATAAAACACGCGCTTATATTTACAACAATACCAACGCGGTTTCCAACTCCAAAAAATTATACAACTAGTTAAAATAACAACTGTCATCGTATTTAAACAAACGTTATTTTGACCGATTTAAGTAACGTTTTAGTAATTAACATTCTTCTTTTCGATGCTTCGTTACTATCCCTTTAAAGTGTAGTTCAGCAGTTGGCGTGATACTCGGGTAAACAGCATATGGATGCTAACTCCAAAATTCGAGTTCGGAACCCAGGGCAGATGAGGCTCGTTAGCTGGAAACAGCATTATCTAGGAGAAAAAAAAATACTGCTGACTTGCAGATTGTTCTTGCGTGTACAAATGCTATGGAAGAAAATCCAGAAAGTAAAGTAGACTGAAGTGGGAGTCAACGGCCCTGATGTTGACATGTAATACTTAATTGATTGGAGGAAATTCCCTTAATTTTTAAATTATACAATAAAGAACGAAGAAGAAGAAGAAACACTGGCGATAGCATACCAAAAATGTCCCACTCATTTTAAATAAAATGTAATTAGATCGTTTTATCATTATAGCATTATTTTGTCTCTTAGCGTAATGTCATTAAAAATACATTTTTGTAGTATCTTCGGAGCTATTTTAACTAGAAAAATGGGGTGATGATAATATCGGGAAATTGATATAATTTTTTGGTATGATGGACTAAACTAGACGATAATAAACTTCTAGCGTCAATTACTCTGAGAATATCCCATTACTGTAAACTATAAATCAACATGTTGCTTGTTACATTCAGCGATACAGAACATCCTATTTCGCTGCACGTTGCACATAAGCTGTGCTGTATCTACACAGCTTCAACATTAAGTCCTTAGAAGTACTTGAGACCATGGCGTAGGAAGAAGTTGGTCATTTTACATTTAAGGAATCCACTTCCCTTAGATCCTTCCCCCTCCCCCAAACACGGTCACGTCTACTCATTTATGCGCACACAAACATAGCGCACGCTCATTCACACACACCAAAAATCTATATATATATATATATATATATATATATATATATATATATATATATATATATATATATATATATATATATATATATATATATATATATATATATACTTTCACCATGGATCTGAAGAGTTAATTAGAACACTCCAGGGAAGGGTTCTGCAAAAAATTTTTTTTTAATGTCGCAAGGGCTGATCCCCTGGAGGGCGCGTTTTTTTTTTTTGGTCGATATAAGTATATAAAAAGAAGTCGGATGCGTTTCGACACCGTTCAACTGAGTGCCATGAAACCTTGGAGAGTTAATGAGAATAACCCTGAGAGAAGATTTCTGTGAAAAAATCATTAAAATTTCTTTGGGCGGTGCCCGGAAGGTCGCTATTTTTGTCAATACACGGTTTGGCGCCCAGAGTTCTAGAGCATCTATGTTGGCACTTGGCATCTAGTAATCGGGCATCCTGCATAGCGGGTAAGGGATACTACTATATTCAGCGGTAAAACTGAAACAAGCTCAACCGCTGGCGCTTCGTTGATTGCGCGACTTTTTTTTTTTTAAAAAAGGCCAGACAATAACGACACGAAGGACAACATTAATCGTTGACTTTATCGAATCAGACACATCCTCCGGCGTCTCGGCAGGTCGCAATTAGGCACCCCGGGCTATCCCGTGAGCTCTAAAGCGCTTACGTTCGTTTTAAACAGTGCAATAGACTATGGATACAACAGGGCATTATAGTCGTTAACTAGACTTCAGCAGACACGTCCTACGACGCCCCGGTAGGGTGCGATTTGCCCCGGCCTATCCTTTGTTCTAGCTTCGCGGCAACGCGCTCGGACGGGCACGCTAGTTATATAAAAAGCGATGTACGAGTGTGTGTGTGTGTGTTTGTCTGTCTGTCTTTTATTCATTACTACACATTTCATCCGACCGCCATGAAACTTTGGGAAATTGTTGATAATACTTCTGGACAGGTATCTGCGAAAAATAAGTTCGAATTCGCAGGGGTGGCGCCCCGGCAAGGCGCGAGTCGATTCTTCTCTATATATGGTATATAAAAAAATTCGAGTGTGGTTTGACACCGTTCATTCGATCGCTTTAAAACGTTGGGGAGTTGATTATAACAATCCATAGGAGGCTTTTGCAATAAAACATTTTTAATTTTGCAAGCGCAGTGCACAGGGAGGGTATGATTTTCTCTCTACACGGTATAAAAAAAATAAAAGTTGTATGTGGTTCGAAACCGTTCATCCGAGTGTCGTGAAACTTTGGGGTGTTGATAAGAACATTCCCGAGATTGTTTCTGAGAATAAAAAGATTCTTTCTTTTCACGGTTTTTGCGCCAGAGTTTCATAGCAGCTATCGTAGAACTTGGTATTCGTTAATCGGGCGTCCTGCAGAGCGGGAAAAGTGTACTACTATATTCAGCAGTAATACTTCAAATATCAGGAAGCCTGTATCCTGCATAACAAGACAGCCCCTCACCTGGAATCCACAAGTCAGGAGGAGGAGAGGCAGACCAAGAAAGACCTGTAGACGTGACCTGCAAGAAGACACCCAGAAGATTGGATACACCTGGGGACAGTTAGAGAGACTAGCCCAGGACAGAGATGCCTGGAAAGCTCTTGTCAGTGGCCTATGTCCCAGTAGGTACGACAGGCAAACCTAACCTAATACTGCAAATTATGCAGCTATCGGCGCCAAGGTGATTGTGTGTCCCGAATCATTGACTATTTTTAATAAGGCGCGTTCTCCAGCACCCCCCCCCCCCCAGCAGGAGCGATTTGGTATCCCGGGTTCATCTG